GCAGCAGATTTGTTTTCTTTTACCAAAAAGTGCCTCTCTTTTCTCTGGCGCCTTTTTCTCCCCGCTGACGAACGTCATCTGCGGACGGGCTGTGGCCAGCTTGTTATGATCTGGCTGGCTGGCTGCGTGCAGTGCCCCCCGTTTGGCCTGCATCTTCGCTGCCCGTTTGCCTTCCTCTTCACTTCGCTTCGCCTTCTGTTTCTGTTTCTTCTTCAGCAGCTGCTGCTGCAGTGCTTCTCATCTCCTCAATGAGCAGTCTTTCAGTGAACTGATTCATTTCATTTCCAGGCAACAGAACAGACCTGCCATCAGAGTGGTCTCCTAGCTGTGCAGCTCTTCCTCAGCCTACATCCTTCCCTCTCCCACAGCCTGCTGCCATGCTGCCGATTTCGAGGGTAAGTTAGGCGAAGTGAAAAGCTTGGGGGAGAAAGCGAATAAAAGANTTTCAGTGAACTGATTCATTTCATTTCCAGGCAACAGAACAGACCTGCCATCAGAGTGGTCTCCTAGCTGTGCAGCTCTTCCTCAGCCTACATCCTTCCCTCTCCCACAGCCTGCTGCCATGCTGCCGATTTCGAGGGTAAGTTAGGCGAAGTGAAAAGCTTGGGGGAGAAAGCGAATAAAAGAAAGAGAGACCACACAGCACCGCTGCACAAGCTCTCTCTCTCTCTCTCTCTCTCCCGAAGTATGTGTGGCATCCTCCTCATCATCAGCATTCTTCATCCTCCTCGGCAGACCAGTCGTTGAAGAGGCAGCAGCACCACCACCATCATCATCATCACAACCACCACCATCAAAACCGATTGCCGAAAAATGGCAACTAACGAAGTTCAGGGACAAAGTTCACCAAATAGAAACGGGCGGCAGCTAGGAAAGTTGGCCCCCGAAGTTGATTGCTCACCAGCGACGAGATTAAAGAGACGCCTGAAGAGTCTTATGGATGGCAGTTCTGCTGACAATGACACTGACAATGACAATGACACCGACAACAATAGCCAACATCTGTCAACATCGGGCCATGATCATCTTAGCCAAGGAGGGTCAAAGAAGGAACGAACAAAGAAGGCTGAACAAGTGGTGGTGAAGAAGGCTACGGCTAATCCTGCTAATGTTGCCTCTCCCTCCAGCAGTGCTCAAAAGTCTCCACCGGCGGCTGCGTCTGTGAGTAAGAAAAAAGACAAAGGCCAGGAAAACTCATCACTGAAGAAGGAGAATGAGAGCAAAAGCCCGGCAAAGAAGTGCAGGCGAAACCTGGAGGAGGTCTACGATGAGATTGGCTTGATGGCTGGCTTCATCACCGATGACATCAGTAAGTGAACCTGCTGCATAACTTCCTTCCTTCTATAATTCTAACTCTAACTTATTATCATTTCACAGAACCCAAAAAGTGCTTGCCAAACTCCTCCAACCTGGAGAGGCTGTTCCAGAAGAACGACGATCAGATCAACCAACGACGACGACAACGACGACAGAGCTGCCCAAACAAAGGCACCCCAAAGAAGA